AAGAATAAGCCACGCTTCTGTGAAACTTTCGCGCGCGATCAAAACGTCAACATTCACACAACAGCGCAAGCAGTGATATAAATTGATTCCCGCGGAAAGGTACCCGGCGGGAATTTACGCAGTCAGCCGCAGAGCAAGAGTTTTCCAAGTTTTTCTGTGTGTGTTTGCAGATATTTTCCTCTGTTCGGCTAGCATGGGAATTTCTTTGTGGGACTCTCATGAGATTTTCCTGGCCGTGAGTTGTGTGAATTCAGCGCTCAGGGTAAGTTGTACGGTTCAAACGTACGAGTATTTGTACAAACTATATGACAGTTTGCGTTCGTCGGATTCCATTAGAGATAATTGTCTCTTCAAATCGAACAGTTGAACGGTGTTTATGTAAAGCATGCATGATGTGATCAGTTTTTAGACAACCTATTCAACAGGGATCTCGTAGCTCGTTGATAAACGGCAACACAAGCTGAGCCCGTGCCACGTCAGAAACAATGATGAGTTCGTGATGAATGCAATAGAATATTGCCATTATTTCCAAAGATTACGAAATTCTTAGAGACCTTAGATAATTTGACGAATTATCTTATCTTCGGCAATTTTTCAACAACCTTACCAAATTCATACATAACACGGACTAACACAGAAAATCACTGTTCATCAATGTAAAGCTGTATGGTGTATATTACGATAATATGGAAGAAACCCGGGAGTAATCAGCTATCTAGATTCTAGAAGTTAGAACTACATATACAGTGTAGGGAAATCGACCGAAAGAAGGTCACCATTCGACCTCCGAAACCAGCGAACGGAATTGCACCGGGCTTGACTGTAACCGACTGTCACATTTTATGACAGATCGGCGAGCTAATGACGGGCTGAGTGACAGCTGTCATGATGTCATTATGTAAGATTTGACGGTAGTCATCGTTAGGAGAATTGTGGCAAAGCAGTATAAAAGACGGGCAGGATGAATATCAGGCTCGGAGAGAGAGAGAAAGAGAGAGAGAGAGAGAGAAAGGGAGGAAGAGGGAAAGGGAGAGAGAGAGAGAGGGGGGAGAGGGAGACAGAGAGAGAGGCACAGACAGAGACAGAGACAGGGAGAGAGAAAGGAAAGTTATGATATTTTATGAGCATATGGACTAATAATTTTATCCTTGTAAAACCCATATAAAGTGACAAATACATTTATATGTAAAAGAGCAAAATGAGAAAAATATCATAAAACATTACGCAATGATTGTATTGGTGGTGGCAAAAACTAAATCTGAGATCAAACACTCTTCATAAACTCTTGCAATTAAATGCACAACTTTTGCAAATTTCACTGCGACCATGCGGTGTTCAAACACTTACAGACTTGACGATCACGGGGTCTTCTTTCGTCTCTCTCTCGCCTTCTCCTCTCTCTCTCTCTCTCTCTCTCTCTCTCTCTCTCTCTCTCTCTCTCTCTTCCTCTCTTGCTCTCTCCGCACACTCCAGATCCGCTCCTACTCTCAGCAAAGTCCGCACTGCTCTACACTTTGTTCACAACTCAGCACCAAAAACCAGCACTCCCTCCAAAGCCCCGTCTAAATCAGCACCAACGACCAATCTCCGGTAAATTTTGCACACTGGTCAACTTCCTGTTATTCGCTGCAACCAGTCCATGCAACGTGAGACTAGTTTCCCCAGACTTTGCCCGCACCCTGGGCTGTCCCGCCTAAACGGCACACATAGCAGTGCCTTGTTCCACGACATGCCGCTACCCAACGTTAACAGGCATTGGCGCTTTGATTTCTTTCGAAGCGTGGTAAAACTAAGCAATTTTGTAACATGAGCAAGAACACGGAACACTTTGGCTCCTGTTTTTATGGAAACCTGGGCCATACTTCAGCACATGACGCTTCCTGATGCTACCAGGTATTAATGTTAGTTTCTATAGAAATGTTAGCCCAGGGGCTCCACCACGGTTTTGGGATTGGGGGGTCAGAGCCAAAACACAAAACCTAGCTCGTCACGTTCCAGGGTGGGCATTTTGGGCGAATTCACCCTCCCGCAGCTCCAGAAAGCGATAATAAATTTCCGTTTTTTTTCTAGAGTTCAAAGAAAACTTAACCCGCGCACCGACGGGGGGGGGGCGGATATCCGCCCCCCCCCTGAGGTTTTTCGCGAATAGCGGGAAAACCGCGGCGCGTAGCGCCGCGAAATTTGGTATGACTATAACCTCATCAATTTTACACATGGTGTGCAAGTTTGAACCTCCTACCTTTTAAGGTCAGGTCACCAGGTCACTTTGAATGACCCAACCTCAAGTCACTTTTTTGCAACTTTGTCACCGTGCCAGAGCTACAGTAGATGTCGGAGGCCTTTGAAACTCGCAGGATATTATTAGGTCATTAGTAGCTACAATTTGTATATCTCGGAATTTTGATATCGGTGACCTAAGGTCAGGTCAATTTCGCGACCTCCCCATTATAAGTCAATGGGGGAAAAATCAACTCCCTGTTTTTACCACTAAAACGGGTCGGAATGGCCCCATATACCATACATGACTTCATATACGATCAACCTTCACTACCTTGAGGTCTGTTTTGCTGTTGGGCAGCTGTGAGGTCATGTGACGTCATCAAAGGTCACCAAAGGTTTTTGGCCAATAACTCCGTACAGGAACAAGATACGGACGCGTGGATGGTCTCAATGTGTTCAGCTCGTCAAGACGCATCGAATGATACATGATGACCTCGAGGTCACGTGACCTGAGGTCAACCTTTGACCTTGACCTTTCGAGGTCAACATATATATCATTCGATGCGGATTGACGAGAGGATCACGATGATGCCCTTAGTTTGTTCCTATCTTGACTAATTCGAAAGTTATTCGAGAAAAACTCTCTCCATATCTAGTGCCGCCATTTTGACTTTTTCGACCCTGTGACGTCATCTTTGACCTGACCTGAAAATGACCTCAGTAAAAATTGTAGATCTTGGCCGTGCGTATCCGATGCCGTTTACCGCTTGTCGCTATCTTGCTTCGTTCTCGAGATCTCAGGGGGGGGCCGAATCGGCCCCCCCCCCGCCAGTTTCTTGTCCCGGCGGAGCCCGCCAGGAATAGGGTTAAGTGAAGTGTATCACTGCATTTGTAGATTGTAGAGAGTAGAGATGGTGTTAGCTGGCTGAATTATTGTTACCGCCAATCAAATTATAAAATGTGAGTGCGGACGCGAATAGGTATAGAATTCCATACGAAAAGCATCTAACATCTGAATCAATGAGCTTTTATAAATTTTAAGTAAGAGATACCTAAGTAGCAGCGTCACAGCGGATTGGTTTTGAGTGATTGTTACATTAATGTGTGCTGCGTTGCCGTTGAACCTACATCTCCTGATGAAGCATGCTGACGCTTAACAAACACTATTTGTCACTCAGGTAATTGTACAGGCTATGGTTCGCCAATCTTATTCATTGCTTGTCTGAACCACGGAACAGCCTGTGCCTGTTGAGGATGCACCCTGGCTTCTCGTCTTATATAATAACGAAATATGATAAAGTGCCATCGTGCTGCTCCTAAATACTGTCATTCCTTTTCGCTAGTCTGATCGGGTTTTCTGTTCTCCGAGCGTGGGCGAGTGTGTGGTTGCTCGCGATATGTAAACAGCGTTGCCTGTGAAAACAGTAGTAGCTCAGGATATATAACTACTTACAAAGTCCAGTCGCCGTCCTTGCCGATTGGACGCTGTAAAAGCAGGTAGATGTAGCTGTTCCACTCAAGTAATTAAAGCTGACAGTGACAGCTAAGTGCATATCTCTTTGGCCGTGGCCTTGCGCATTGTGCGCTGCATTCATTATTGGAAATCATTAGTCACCCTACCGAGAAAAGGTAATGGGCAGTTCAGCACCCATATGTATGCAAACATGCTTTATGCTCGCTCTTTTGCATTTAAACGGCGCTTAACATGTAATTTGCGTCGGTACATGGTTTGTTTTTGTTAAACTAGCATCCTGACAAAAAGTGACGTTCGTTTCATTTCTATGTACGCTCATATCCCGTTATACCCCTACCCCGTCCTCCTCCTCTTCCTCCTCTTCCTCCTCCTCCTCTTCCTTCTCTTCCTCCTCCTCATCCTCCTCCTCCTCCTGCTCTCTCTCTTCTTGCACGCCACGCGGCGGGCCTCCTAGGGGGCCCGCCGCGGGAGCACGTCGACGGGGGGTTCGGCGCGCTCCACTCCTCGGAGAAACTCCGTGATTTTATTGGCCGGCTCCTGGAAGATTTCACGGAGCGTTGGCGTAAAACCCCAGAGCCGGCCTCGGGTGCGGGGTATGCGGGACACTCCGTTAGTAGGTGCTCGACGCTATCGGGCTCGGAGCAGGCAGGGCAGCGGTCGTCTTCCGCCAGCCTCGGACCGCTCCGCTGCCAAGGGCGCCAGGGCGGTCGGCGGTCCTCCTCCTCCTCCTCCTCCTCCTCCTCCTCCTCCTCCTCCTCCTCCTCCTCCTCCTCCTCCTCCTCCTCCTCCTCCTCCTACTCCTCCTCCTCCTCCTCCTTTTCCTTCTCCTCCTCTCTCTCCCTCTCTCTCTCTCTCTCTCTCTCTCTCTCTCTCTCTCTCTCTCTCTCTCTATCTCTCCTTCTCTCTCTGTCAGTTTTGTTAAAACCTATTTTTTGAAGCAGTCATTGGTACGAGGCGTCTTGACGCTGATGTACATACTTACATACTTACCACCTCGTAGTACCGTTGCTTGTATTTTATCATAGACATTGGACATCTAACACTTCGAGCAACGTTTAATGACGCTTTCATTTACATCAGTTTCCTTTGTAACGTTTATACGTTTAAGTTTCAGGAGCCCTTCTCTATGGCTTTCCCTGACACGAATACTTCTCTCGGACCATTTCAGTAATGGTGTTGATTATTTATGGTTACTAGCCGACGAGCACAGCATTTTTATGTGGCGTAAAATCGCTTACTAAAAATTCCATGAACATAGGTATAGGCAGTATTTAGTCGGGCAAAACGGTCCGCCAGTATCTAAAGGATGGTCCTGGCAGTAAGACATTTGTAGCCCATCTTAAATGTGAATGTGGGTAAACTGTCAACCTCTTTCTGCTTTAAAGAGCCCCGATTGACATCCATTGATGACTAGTGGCGGCGGAACACCTTCAATGAAAGGGGAGGAGGCACTGCCGACCTTTGGTCCCATTCTTTCTGCATCAAACGCCCATAGGGCTAATGTTAAAATGCCAAAATCAAAGGGGGGCACGGTGCCCCCGCCCCCCCCCGTTCCGCCGCCTATGTTGACGACGTCCCAAAAACAATTGAAGGGTGCTAGGGGTACAGTGAAGAGAGGATGTTCAGAGCCAATTTTACAACGTGCGACGCACATCCGTCAGTCATCTGAATTAGCCGAAACGGACATGTCACACGAAACGTAGATTGTTTTTGTTTATCTTGCAAGCTTTTCATCATTATCACGGTATGTAGTGACTAAGCCTGTTGTTTCCGTTCGTTTCAGGGATCCGGCGCCGCCTCCGTGTGCGAGACGAACGCGACGCGCCCCAGCCCGGTGTCCGGCGTGATTGGCGCCGCGTTCAGTGACGTCAGCATCAACGTCGCTAAAATTCTGCGCTTATTCAAGGTGAGACGCCTTCCTTACCATAATGCTGTCACCAGAGAGAGCACTCAAAGTTGCTTGGAAGAATTGCAAGAAAGTCAAGCTTATTACGATAGCGCACTGATCACTAATCAGCATAGGTGTAGGAACGTTTTCGAAAGTGGGGGGCCAGGCTCCCAGAGGCACAAAACCTCACCTACCCCCAAAATCTTTTTTCTCCTCGGATTTCGGCCACTTTATTTTCGCAAGCATGCTCAAATTGGTAAAAAAAAAAAAACGTGACAAGAAAAAATCGACCAAAATCTCAGGGAGACTCCTGTCCAGAAATTAAATCTCATGGACGCGTCCCCCTGGCCTCCGCAGCCGCGTTGGCACCAGGAGCGGATCCAGGAAAACTCCAAGGGGAGGGTCATGAATCGAAGTAGTGCCCCTACCTATACCCAAAATTAAAACCTCATCTGATTTCGGCCACTTAATTTTGGTGGTGCCCTATTTTCATTTTTATTTATTTGTTTTTGCCCTGGCAGGCCTGTGTTCTCAAATAACGTAGGAATCCTTATCATGAAGCCTGCCAGCCAGTGTGCTGGGGCAAAGTCTTCAGACGGTCGCCGGCTGACCGGATGACGGACGATATGCTCAGTTGACTTGGTTTCCGCGCCGCCCGTGTCGGTCCCGTCAAGGACAGCTGCTTGTGGCAAGAAACGGTGTCGTAGCTTAGTCATGCGAGTCCTTATCCTCCAATGGCAGCTTCGCTTATGTGGCTCGGCATGCCTTATCTGTAAGCAAATACTGCACCGTCGACAGGCAGATACGGTTGGCCACGGTTTTTAAATGGCGTCCGGGACGTTTTCTGGCATAGGGATGACTGATATTTGTGAGCTCTCGTTCATCATATGCATCTTTGTGAGCGACGAGGCAAATTAATAAGTATTACAGTGAATCAATGCATGAAAGATTAAAGTGCTCTTCAAAACAGAAGACTTGCATCCTTATAAACCCATAAATTTAATGATATTTGAACGGTTATTAACTCTCTTCATAGCCCCTTGAAACTTTATTGTCAGTGGTCAACATGCTGAAACGCCTGCTGAGGTTAACCGTGTTATCTGATTAAACGACAGTTCCTAATTGAGGACTTAATCAACACAGAAAAACTTCATTAGCGGAATAAAGAATGACTGGGCACCACGAAACCATAGCACAGACGTAACTTTACTTCGTCAGGAACTCCGCCGAATGAAAAATCATGGCTCTACTGTACCAAATAACTTTCTTGACTGTATGACACTAATTCCTCAAATTGCAATGATTCATTTCTATTTTCATCGCGCTAACAGTTTCTGAGAAGTGTCTGGGACGGCGGCCGGCTGCCGGCGCCGCTCACTGCTGGACAGTGATTGTTGGCCCACCCTGGGGGTATGTCAGGACACGGTACGGCACCAGAGACCGTAACAGGAGCCGACAGACAGTTCGTCTTCCGAGGCGAGGCTGCTGCTCCCAAACGCCGCCCCGATGGCGCGGTGGCCCGATGGGCGATTCGTTTATTGTAGTTCGAAGCTCGTCGCACGGATGACGAATTAGGTAACGAAATACTAACGACATTGATCGTAAGAGTTCCTAATGCTGTAATATCAAGCTGCAACTATGCGGACTGTACATATAAGGTAACCTTACAATCGAGGTCGGGCTGCCATTGCCGTATCTGATCCCTTCTACCTAATCACCTATATCAACAAACTCTTCCTCCCATATTGCAGTCATAATACCCGGACCATACTGAGCTTGTTTGCTGTGGACATCGCTCAGCGTTGAATCACTGAAGAAGTATCCAGTGCCGCCCCTAACCCAGCGCGACTCAAACCGGATGCCAGTTGGACAGTTTGACGTTGACCAGAGCATTGTGATGCCGGCGATATTTCAGCTGCAGCTCAACGGGAATCAAACATACCACTGACTCTTCCGGGTCCAGGCTCAGTTGCCATGGGATTGCATGATTTAGAATACATGTAAGGTAGGATAGTTGATTACCAAACAATGCCTGATATATGCGCCTCGAAAAAGTAAATCACATTTCAAATGGTGAGTGTGTTTGGCACTGCTTGCAGCTGTGTAATGCACATCTACTTGCTCAATGTGGCATCGGACGATGGCCCCTGGCCACAATAGTGTCCATCAACTAGCGTACGGTCCGAAAATTCAACAAACCACGAGAAGCAAGCTTGACTAATCTGATATATAAATCTCTCCGATCGTCTCTAACACGGCGGGTGCTGCCCCTCTGACAGATCCCGCAGATCAGCTACGCATCCACAAGTACGGAGCTGTCGGACAAGACTCGGTTCGAGTACTTCTCGCGCGTGGTGCCGCCCGATTACCTGCAGGCACAGGCCATGGTGCACGTGGTCCGCGCACTGGGCTGGAAATACGTCAGCACTGTGGCCGTGCAGGGAGACTACGGCGAAAAGGTGAGGATCGGACCGCATAGACTGCGGTGAAAAGGTGAGAATCGGACCCCTCAGTCCTTAACTATACGGTGAAAAGATGAGGATCGGACCACCTCGGCTTTTGTGAAAAGTTGAGATTGAATCCCCGGTGGAATGGTAGAAGCGGCACGTTGATGCCGAAGTTCGCCAATACATCCTCCATATTTACTCCTAAATAACTCCTAAATAACTCCTTAAATACCAAATCACACTGCATACGTGATGCAAGCTGCAACCACGAACTTTCTGGGCGTTTGGCAATGCAACAATTTATTTCTAGCCTCGGGCATCAATCTTGTTTCGTGTGCGGGGCATCACATGCTTAATGAATGGTGGAGTCACGGTGCAAAATTAATGTCAGGAGAAATCTCGTCGCCGAGTTCGGAGAGGGTTAAGGGGATCCACAGCTCGATCAAAGGAGGCAGTGCAGCCAGGCAGGACAGTAGCATCAGAGGCGCTGTAACGTATTTTACGTAATTGAACGCCTCTGTTAACCCTCGCCCGTAAACGGCGATCTGCCACCTTCGCCCATGCAGGGGGGGGGGTTGGTGCGACCCCCCTTGGCGTTTGAAAACGGAGCGTCGTAGAGCTTAGCGGAAAAGACCAAAGGATTGCTCTTGCCGAGATCTCGCGATTGGTGGTATATTTTTTGGTCCTAGGTCAACATTTGACCTACTTTTGACCGGTCAAAGGTCAAATTTTCGGAAAAAATAGACTTTTTCAACTTTCCGCGGCGATTGCGGCAAAACGGTCGGAGATATCGACTTGAAACCTTCACTATCGTGTTCCTTGATCAATTCTCTATCGTTTGGTATGTATTTCGTTTCCCTAGCTCTAAAAATGGCGGGTTGGGAGCGCCGGAAGTCGGCAAGGTCACAGTCGGCGGCAGAAATTCGAAAAATCAAAATTTAAATTTTTGAAATCTGATTGTATTTTTGGATTTGGGAGGTCCATTTGCTCCCTATAGAAGCTAATATTGCTGCATATTCCCATTGAGGTGACAAGAATTAGCAAAATAGTGGTTCGGGCGCTTTTCAAAAATAGTACCGGACGCTGTTCCTCTTGTGACGTCATAGCTCCGTGACCTGACCTGACCCGGTCAGGTTTCTTATACCATATAATAGCCAATACTTGCCCCAGCATGGGAAGTTTCATCACGATCCATCAACCGATGTCCGTACCACCGGCAGGAAACCTCGGGCGTTGGCACTCAGTTTGTGAAAATCCGGCCGGAGGCTCTTCCCTTTGTGACGTCATAACTCCGTGACCTGACATGACCCGGTCAAATTTTTTTTTAATCAAAAGATGCGCAAGGTTTGCCCCATAAGGTACCCAAAATTTGGCGGCGCTGCGCGCCGCCGTTTTTGCACTATTTCCGAAAAACCTCAGGGGGGGGGGGTTGCACCAACCCCCCCTACATGGGCGAGGGTTAAAATTAGGTACTTGGAACCCGTTTTTGCACTATTTCCGAAAAACCTCAGGGGGGGGGTTGCACCAACCCCCCCCCCCTACATGGGCGAGGGTTAAAATTAGGTACTTGGAACAACTTATTCTTTACAGTCTGCTGCTTTTGCTAAAAAGATTATGAGAAAGTTTTGCACACATTAGCTGCAGAGATACCACCAGTAAAACGCCTTTTGGGCGAAGAACGAGCGAGCGAGATAGTGAGCCCTGCACGTGCAGAAGGGCGAGAGGGTACTGCCAACGGGCTTGTGCAAAGCACCCTTCTAACCGGTCGCTAGCGGTGTACCAAATTTGAACGCAATCGGTCCAGCCGTTCCTGAGATCTGGAAGCGGCATTCTGCACGTGCGCACGTGCAAACGGGGTCCAAAATGACTTTTGCACGGCACCCTACTAACCGGTCCCCAGCCGTGTACCAAATTTGAGCGCAATCGGCCAAGCCGTTCTCGAGATCTGGAAACGCCCCCTGCACGTG